AATATCAGCTGATTATGACAATTGTTGGCGCAGGGTCTTGTGTTGGGAGGTGATACGCTGACTTTTGGTACATCTTTTTGGAGGGGTATTAGGAACTAGTTGTGAAAAGGTTTACTCTGTTGTATATTGGCTGCAAATAAAGTTGGCGTGAATAATAAATTAATTCAATTCTATTTTATTATATACTAGTGTATCCGGCGGTGTAAAATAAGCTATAATATGGGAGCAGCTCATTCAACTGAACCACGCTCAGTGTCGATGGACAACCCCAATTCCGGAGTTATTGATGTTTCGGACGAGGTTGTGCAACGTCTTAAACGAGGGATAAGCAAACAAGGTATTTATACTTCAAAGATTTAGTTTTATACAAAATAAAGTGCAAATGAACGCTTAAAAGAGCTGTTGAAATGCCTTAATAAGTACTATAATTGATTATGCAATAGCGGCATAGTAACAAATCACTAAAAAATACGTTAAACAAATTTATAGCTATGTATGTGACAGTTCTTAAATGCAAGGCTTGTTTGCAGCTAAAGAAAATGCCGCTTCTGCTGTTGCATCTGAACCACAGACACCACTTCCAAAAAAAGATGTTCCCCCTACTCCAGTAAAACCGACAGTAGCACCAGTACCTGTGCCTCCAACAGTTGTTTACCAAGCACCACCAACAGTTTACGTTGCTCCCAGTGGAACAACAATTACTGCAGCTGATATGGCACGCCAAAAAGAGGCAGAACTGAAACAAAACGATGCCATGTGGCGTCAGCGTTTGGCTGATCTTGAAAAAGCGCTGAAGAAAACGAATGCAATTATGGAAAAGGAGTACTCGTCAGCGGTCGAAGATGTCCGCCAACGTTTCGCTACTGCTTCTCCTGTACACCAACTGCCACCATGTCAGGATCTTAAGGCTCAAGTCATCGCTTGCTATCGCGCAAATCCAGGACAGACATTACAATGTTCCAGTGAAGTAGCTGCCTTTAGAGAGTGTGTTAATTTGAACCGTATCAAAAAACTTGATTCAGAGGAGAATAAACCAGCTGCAAAAGCAGCATAAGCGAAGTTGCGGCTTTAGATGGATTAGTGTTAAATAACAGATTGTGGATTATTACAAATTTCTGCGCTACCGAACGTTTTTAATTTTGCCTTTCATAAAGTAAGTCTAAATATGTTAATTTTAAAAGCTTCAGATTTTGTCAGACACCGTGTAAAAATGCGAAAAAAGTAGATCTGTTTGTTCATATTTAAATAAAACTTAATATGTCTAACATCCTAAACATTCTAGGCAACTACATTTTCAATGATCCGTCAACTTTGGCATAGAGAAACCCGGTTTCGCCGTTGGGCCTATTGTGCCCTATGCAAAAAAAAATTATTTAAGTCAAAGATCACATAGTGGCATTTTTAACCAAACGTTACTGTTTATTATGAAAATAGGTTAGACAAATGTGTAGATCTAAATTATCTTTAAAAACTGACACCTTTGCTCCTAAGAATTGCCATTTCGGTGATATATCGATTCGGAAAGTTGTGGTGTCCATAATATGCTCAATTTCTCCTCTACTTGTGAGGTAGTATAATTGGCGCGTTTTTTTTAAATGTAGTTTTCCCGGTAGGCCTCCTCCACGACTTATTGTAGTTGTTGTTGTTGTAGCGGCTACAACAACCCCGCCCAGGACGGTTGGTATCTCAGTCGTTGTCGTCAAGTTCCACTAACGGCAACTCTAGGAAGCGTGCAGCTTCTGTGGGGTTTGTGCACAGGGACAAGGCCGTTAGGGTTGTCGAGTTTTTCGGGCATGCGATGAGATGTTTCGAGTCATGTGGGGTCTCTCCGCATGCCGGACACTCATTCGGCACATCCTCATTCAACCTACTCAAGTAGGAGTTCAGCCTGCTGCAGTAGCCGGAGCGAAGTTGTGCGAGTGTTGTGCGTGTCTCCCGAGGCAGATGAAGCTCCGTCTCGTCTATGTCCGGGGGTGGTATGCCTAGAACGGCATTCACAGGTCTAGAGTCTACATAACTCGAGACTGAGTCCCTGTGAATGCCGTTCAGGGCCTGTCTGTAAGCTGTCGGGTCCAGAGGTTGCTTAATGAACCTCTGGACTTCGTCCGTCAGTTCATATAGATGCCTCCTGACGTGCCTAGGCGAGGGCTCCTCTGCAAGCAGCTGTCTGCTTGGGTGGCCACTTCTATGGCTCCCGATCAGGAACTGCTTGCAGAGCATTATATTATGCTCCTTTACAGGGGGTATTTGCGCCTCGCCGTGCAGGTGGTGTTCAGGCGACATCAAGAGGCATCCTGTCGCTGTCCTGAGTGCGGTATTCTGTACAGTCTGTAGCTTCGTCCACTGCGTCCTACTAGTCCCTGGCGACCACACTGGCGCTGCGTAGTTCAAAACCGGCCGGCCTATTGCCTTGTATGTTGCCAGCAACGTTTCTTTGTCTTTGCCCCAAGTACTGCCGGCTAGCGACTTGAGGACCTTGTTGCGGCTCTGTACTTTATTGGCAATAGCGGTTGAGTGCGCAGAGAAGGAGAGCAGGCTGTCGAATGTTACTCCTTGTATTTTGGGGTTATTCACCGTCGGAATTGGTGTGTCATCGACGTGAATCCCCAGCGGTAGCC